GATATTGATAAGCTAGTGATATGGGCAGATAAGTGGCAGATTAAATTCAGTGCAGTGGATTCTACATTGAAACGCTTTGATGCACAGAACAAGGAGCCATAATATTAAAAGGTACTGTCTTAAAGTGTGTGAAAGAGCAGAGAGACCCAGGTGTTTTTGTGCATAAATAATTAAAAGATGGCAGAACCGGTAGAGATGGGTGAAAATAAAGCATACAGTATTTTTGGCTTAATTAATTGGACAACAGTACAAGATCAGAGATCTTGTGTTGAACTTACATAGCTGGTTAGATGTCAGTTACAGTTCTGGTCACCACACTTTTTAAGAAGAATGTGAATTCATTGAAAAGAGTGCAGGAGAGGTTTACGAGAATTGTTTCAGGAATGATAAACCTTAATTATGAGAACAGTCTAGAATGGTTGGAACTGTTTACCAGCACCACCCTGAAATCAGAGAAGATTGAATGATTATTGCCAGTGCCTCTGAAACTTCCACACTCTTTTTTTCAGTGTTCTTGGATGTATCTCATCTAGTCCTGGTGTCTTATCAGCTTTAAGTACTGACAGCTTGTCGAATATCTCTGCATAGTCAATTTTAAACCCTTCAACCTTTGGAACTTGGTATTGAGTTCAATCATTTTAGGGTCTGAATACCACCTCCCATGACCTTACCCCAACCCCCACACACAAGGCCTTGTTATCACATGATCTGCAACTACAAACAACTCATTGTCAGCTACGAATGGTCCCAATTATCAGATATTGATTCTCCCAGGCTGACCTTGACCCATTCCTTTGTCTGTCCAGCTGTTGTTCCCTCTGCCTGGACTTCAGCTTCACCTTTGTTTACTCCTGCCCCCTCCCACAATCCCATCATCAGCCTTTTCCTTTACCTAGCTACAGTCAGTTCTGAAGAAGGACCACTGGACCCGAAATGTTAACTCAGCTTTCTTTCCACAGATGCTGCCAGACCTGCTGAGTTTTCCCAGCAATTTCTGTTTTTGTTTCTGATTCCACCTATTAACTTAATATTTACTCGCTTACTGTTTTGTGCCTTTCTCAGCAACCTTAACGTTTTGTGTGATACTTTGTCAAATGCCTTTTGGGAGTCCAAATTCAACACATCTTCTGGTTCTGCTCAATTGACTGTGTTTGAGACTTCTTCGAAAAACTCTAATAAATTAGTTGGACATGATTTCCCTTTCGTGAGGCCATGTGACTCTGCTTGATAAGATTATGGTTTTCCCAGATGCTCTGCTTTTACTTCCTTAATAATTGATTCCAATACTTATCCAACAATAAATCTAGGGTTAATTGGCCGATAGTTACCTGCTTTTTGCCTGCCTCCCTCTTTGATAGGCTTTTCATGTTTCGTGCTTTTCATGTGATGTCACTTTGACTTTTATTCCAATCTCAACCAAGCCCCAAGATAGATGCTCCCTCTTGGGATCAACTGTTCTATCCTCCAGAAGCTAAGCAAAAAGCCCTGAGCCTTTCCCTCTCTTTTCATCTGCAGTACAGGGTACATGCTCCCTTGTAGTTCTGACCTTTTTAGTCCCCAGAACATTAACATCACATTCCTTTTAAATCTCACCTCTTTATATTTTATCTGATTCAATGTCTCTACTGCTTCATCTTTCACTGCCGTGATCCACGTCTCTTCTTTAGTAATGACGCATGCAAAGTGCACGCTTCATACTTCAACCATACCTCATGTTGCCATAAGTATATTTCACTGTTTGGGTCTTGGCAGCTCCAGTTTTCATTTGACTGCCTTTTTACTGCTTATAAGTTTACTGAAGCCATTTTGTGATTGCTATTATGTTAGGTGATCGTGTATTGTCGCTTTTTAGCCATTTTATTTTCTTCTTAGGTCTCTATTTTCAAACTGAGATTGTCAAGTTCAAGGAGGGTACATATATTAGCAATAACAAAACTCTGAAAGTCACGAAATACAAAGATGTAAAGTAAAAATATGAGACTTTGGAGATGAATCAGCAAGGAGATGGATTTGCTGAACTTGTTGGAGTCTTGAATATAAATAGCTGAAATGGATGCAAAGGCAGGTGGAAGTATTTGGCCCCTGTGATGGAGAGCATATGGAGTCAGGTCTTGTGTAAAGACAGCATGATTTTATTTTTCTTTCTTTTTGTTTGTTAACTGACATGGAAAATAGACTCCTTTAAACCTAAGGACTGTGGAAGAAGTTACTGTACTTTTAATTACAAATTATGGGAACTCATAATGAGTTGTGATTACACTGCTGCAATTTTCAAGCAGAGAGTGAGGAGGGATGAGAGCATGGCACCATGCTGTGTGTGCAGAGTGAGATTATACCAGTAACAGGTTGCTGATTGGCTTGTGTAATTGTGGCCAGCTGTTCATACCAAAGATTACCAGCCTGGCAGCAACTTGCTGATTGCTCCTGGACAGCAGAACAGCTTGTGGGTGTCAATGATACAGGGGCAGAGGTGTTCCAAACTGGAAGGAGCAGGTTCTGTGTCTTTATCTCTCTGCAGTAAAAGTACCTGAATCCTGAAGAAATCCAGTTATTTTCTCCAATGAGTTGATGTAAGCAGTTGCTTTTAACAAGGAACTAAGAGTCTATCTATTTCTTGTGCCACTTGGAGAAAGAAGATTGCAGAACAGTAGATCTTGGGGAGCACAAGGAACATCCTATGGACCGGTCATATTGAACTGTGTTTCTCCAGATTTCTTTCCCTCTACCGATAACACTAGTGTTTTTTGTTTGTCCATGTATGCCTGCATGTGTGTGCAGAGGTTTAAGAGAGGGATAAAGTTTAAATTAGTGGAGTTAAATGTTGATATTTCACATTACCTGTGTGTATTTGTAACAAACAATAGTCTTTGTTAATTACAGGAACCCGGTCAGTGTTTTCTGTTAATCTAATTCCATTAACCAGATAAATTGGGAACTTTGCTCACTTTGATTGAATCATTAACTTTTAAAGTGACTCTTGAGTAGTGGGGCTCAAGAATCAGTGCATTTTCCCAAGTGGGATATAATGCTTATCTTGGGGTTGAGTGGGACTCTGTGTAAGTTGTGAACAGTGCAACTTGACACGGAGGAGAACCAAATCATTGACAAAGATATCGGGTTTGAGTTGGTACTTGAAAAGAATGGCTTCAGTCTTCCTAATATTAAGCTGGAGGAAATTTCAGCCCGCGCAAAACTAGATGCTAAACAAGCAAAGACGAGTGTGAGGTCCCGGGGTTCAAAACTTTGACTTAATTGTTTGGCTATTTGAGAAAAGTAGCCAATCCCTCTGACATTATGTTAATCTCTGTTAAATGTTTATCTTAAAAATGTATTTGTATATCAAAATTGTTCTGCTATACTCCCAAATATTTTTTCTCTCATCTTCAAATTACTCCCAGCCCAACATATGCCCAGTGAAGATACTGCAGTTACAGAGAGCCTTTGTGCATATCAAAATGCTCTATTTTGTTCCAAGTGTGTCCTGTGCCAGCCAAATCGACACATGGTATCTGCAGATAAATTTTATCTTCAATTCAATTTGAACACGCGTTTTGTGTGAAAAATTTGCTGAAAGAATGATGGGAGCTCAGTGAGTTGGTTGCTTCATCTGACTGGCTTTGAAGATTTTGGTTTTATTTGACTGTCCTAAGGCACACCTTTTCTGAAGATGACCTTTTTCACAGTTGCATTTTTTTGGTGTGATTTTAACCTTCACTTTTCTTGAGGTGAAGGTTCTATGAAACATCATTTCTTTTCCAGAGCTTCATCGATGGCATGCTGCACCAGAATGCTCCATTTTCACTTGTGACTTGCACTTAATTTCAAGTATCAAGAGTTACAGTTCGGAGCTAGCTGTTCCTGTTTCTATTACAATGTTGGAAACAGCAGACTTTGTTCTGCCAAGATGTGGGCAGACTGTACTGTTTAGTTGGAAGGTGTAGCTTGATCTGGGCATTGTCAGATAGGTAGCTGAGTTCAGCCAAGGCACAATGACAAATCATGATCCTATTGCTGCTGATTTCAGAGAGCATACAGTACTAAACACTTGAATTGTTGGTACGAAACCGGAGAATGCATAATGTTAACAGCATAGTAAGAATTGACTCTAGTGTTTGGAAAATGCACAGTACTAATGCCTCTGAGCTCAGAGAATGAACAGCACCAACACAACTGACTTCAGAGAACAGATTGCAGGTCAATATCCCAATGAGCTTTAGATTTGTTACCTTCTTTATCCATAGTGGCTAAACTATGGTAAAATTCAAGTAAATTGACATACCAATTTACATCACAGTTCATTTGGATTCAATTACTATTTATCATCATCAAGTTTAATTTCCTTCTCTACTATGACCTTGTGTATTCATCTATCCTGATACCCAGTTTCCCAAAGACTCATTTGGATGACTAAAAGTGAATTCTCAAAAACACTCAAACTTTTTTGATTACATTTTCTTAGGGGGATTGAAACATCTACTTATTTATTTTAAGCAATGCTGTTATTTTCCATCTACAAATCTGCACAGTGCCAGCAAAGAAAAGATAAGGATTATGAAGAGGAAGCATGAATGGGCAGTGGCGATAGCCAGAGAATCTTTGCCTGTGCACATCCTGTTTGGGAAATGGGTAAACCTGAATAATTTTGGGGGCTAATAAACAAAATTAAATCTTTCAATAAAAGCAAAATACTGCGAATGCTTGAAATCTGAAATAATAATAGAAAGTGCTGGAGAAATTCAGCAGGTCTGGCAACATTTGGCAAGAAACACTTAACATTTAAGACTCAAAATTGTTTCTCTGTCCCATGATACTCGCAGACCTGCTGTATTTGTTTTTATATTAAATCTACTCCAATGGTCAGAACTTCACTTAATTCTATTTGGATAAGTTCTGTCCTTTTCTTCAGAGTTCAAGTTTCAGTCCCTCTTGTGCTGTTGAATATAATGTTTGCTTGACTAATTCAGATGAAAATTCTCATTCTGGTTTTTATTATCTTGCAGATAAATCACTTGGCTGCCAACAGTTGAGAAGCCAGCAGAACTGTTTTACCCTGGATGTGGATGATGAGGATGGTGAAAATATGAGTAAGAGTGCTAACTATTTCAGGTTATGAGCATGGGGCTCTTTACTGGCCATTGTTATAGCATGCCCAAACCTTGAACTTCTCCATGTTGCAAATCCATTCAGATAACACACCAGGCCAGTTTTGTGTGTTTTAATGATCTGGTGTGGCAATGCATTTTCAGATTGTGCCACTAGCTATTGTTTCCTAACTGTAAATTGAGATAAATTTTAGATTTTGCTTTGCACAAGCACAAAAAGTGATTGAGCAAGGTGAGGACAGGGCTTTCCAAACTGTGGGTTTTGAACTCTGGGGTTTGCTGATTAACTTTCTAGTTGTGACTCCCAAACTTGTACTGGTGGTCATGAAATGCAGAAGGGTCCAGGAGTGTGGTTGCAGTACTGCTAAACAGCTGGTCCCGTGCTCATTGGCTGAGTGCTCTGACAGTCAAGATGGCAGTAAGTAAAGCAAACACTTTTGTGCAGACCATCTCTATTGACAGGCTACTGAGCCAATGATTGCTGTTAGTCTGAACACAAGTAATAAGTGGCCCATGAGGATGCAACAGAATCAGCGATGTTCTTCCGTTGTTTCTTGCCTCGCTCTTTTACTGGATGGTTCTTTTGGAGCATGCTGGAACCTGCTTTACTAAGTGAGTTAACGTGCCTGCAAATGGCTGTTCCACAACCTAAATTCTGATTCTGTTGATGTCTGCTTGCCAATGTAGCCCGACTGAAAATGTCTTCTTCCTTTTCCTTGTCATAGAGTCATAAAGCTCAAAAGCAAACCCTTCTGTCTAACTCGTCCATGCCAACCAAGTTTCCCAAACTAAACTAGTCTCACTTGACTGTGTTTGGACCATATCCCTCTATTCATTTACCTGTCCAAACGTCTTTTAAATGTTGTAACTGTACCAGCATCTGCCACTTCCTTTGGCAGTTCATTTCACAAACGAACCGCCCTCTGTGTGTAAAAAGTTGCCCCTTGGATCCCTTCTAAATCTTTCTCCTCTCACCTTACAAATATTTCCTCTAGTTTTGAACGGCCCCCTCCCTCCTCTGCCACCACCATGAACATACCATTGTTATTCACTTTATTTATGCCCCCCATAATCTTATAAACCTCTATAAGGTGACCTCTCAACCTTCGACACATTGGTGGAAAAGTTCCAGCCTATCTTTATAACTCAAACCCTCCAGTCCAGCCAGCATGCTGGTAAATTTTTTCTGAACCCTCTCCAATTTAATAATATCCTTCCTCGATGACAACTCACTGATGCAGCCTGGCTGAAACTGGATTCTTCCTGCCACCCTTGATGCCTGAGGTCCACGTGCCATGCACCCTGACTTCAAATGGCTTCTTGCCATAGTGTGAGCAAGAGACAGATTTATGTGACAGAGTGTGTGTGAATGTACGTAACTAAGGGAATGAGAGTATCTGTGACTGAGTGAATATGAGATTGTGGATGAGTGTGTGGGTATGAGTGACAGAGAGTGAGTGTGACTAAGTGAACCTGAGGAAATATGTCATAATCATAGAGTCATACACGTGTGATAGAGAATGAGAGTTAGTGTGTAAGGGATTAGGAGAGTGTGAGAGAGTGATAAACAGAGCAAGTAACTCATTGTGTGTTGTATTGGAGCAACAGCTTCTCTTCCCTGCTCTTACAGGTTAGACCTGGGGTCTCAAGAACTTTGAGTCATTTAAATGGGGTCATAGAGGGAAAAGGTTTGGGAAACATTGCTTGAAGAACTAAAAATGTTGATGGAATTAGTTTGTTAATAGAACAGTACAGCACAGTACAGGCTCTTCAGGCCACGATGTTGTGCCGAACTTTTACCCGAAACCTAAGGTCTATCTAACCTCCACTGCTACCTTATACTATCATCCATGTGCCTATCTAATAGCCGCTTAAATGCCCCTAATGAGGCCGACTCCACTACCCTCTCCGGCAATGCATTCCACGCCCCTACCACTCTCTGATTAAAGAACTTACCTCTGACGTCTCCCCGATATCTACCTCCTTTCACTTTAAAACTATGTCCCCTCATAAAAGCTACCTCCACCCTAGGGAAAAGTCTCTGGCTGTCTACTCTATCTATACCTCAGATCATTTTGTATACCTCTATCAAGTCACCTCTCATCCTTCGTCATTCTAAAGAGAAAAACCCTAGCTCTCTCAACCTTTCCTCGTAAGACCTTCCGTCCATTCCAGGCAACATCCTGGTAAATCTCCTCTGCATCTTTTCCAACGCTTCCACATCTTTCCTGTAATGAGTTGACCAGAACTGGACACAATTCTCCAGATGTGGCCGAACCAGGCTTTTGTGTAGCTGGAGCATAACTTCACGGCTCTTGAACTCAATCCCGCTAATGAAAGCTAACACACCATACGCCTTCTTAACAACTCGACCACCTGGGTGGCAGCTTTCAGGGAACTGTGAACATGAACCCCAAGATCCCTCTGCTCCTCCACACTGCCAAGAATCTTTCCGTTAACCCTGTATTCTGCTTTCAATTTTGTCCTTCCAGAATGAATCACCTCACACTTTTCAGGGTTAAACTCCATCTGGCACTTCTCAGTCCAGCTCTGCATCCTATCAATGTCCCAAGGATTACTCAAGGAAAGTTCGAAAGATTTTGGCCATAAGTCATATACAGTCCAAAGATTCTCAAAAATGTTATTCATAGACAGAAAAAGAAAATCAAGAAAACAAGTGTGAGGTAACATCAGAAATCAATGTCAGATTCTTTGAAAAACCCATGTAGGGGTTGGGGACAGGGAGCAGTTGGCAATTGGCAGGCAAGAGTTACAGTGACTGGTGCAAGGACAGGCAGAGAACCCTGCAGCTAGCACTCAGTGCTGAGCTTGAACAGCATTGAATAGTCAGACAGGACTTCGTAACTTTAAGGTAGTAACACTCGTTTTCTTGGTCTGCACAAACCGATGTGTAGTCCCTGCCATTTATAGTGGGCGTGTTAGCACTAAAACAATGAGCTTTGAAATCGGAAAGCTCACCTGGAAACTGCCTTTTGTATTAGCAGTCACATTCAATTGCATTATATCAAGGTGCAAGCAGCTCACGTGGGCGGAAGTCAGCCATTTAGCATCAACACTAAAAAGGAGGCCATTCAGCCCAGTGTGCACATGACAGGACTTTGAAAGAATTGTTCAACTGATCCCATTCACCTTCTTTCTCCATGGCCATGCAATTTTTTCTTTCAAATGTATGTGTAGAGTTAGTATCTGTTGAACTGCCTAAAAAGGACCTTGTGGCACAGTGGTAGTGTTCCTGCTTCTCAACTGGAAGGTCCTATGGCATTGTCCATGGCTAGAATTCATTGTAGACAAGGCACCTTCCCCTTCAGTGCTGCTTGTGTATTTGATCAGATAGTAGGCCTGAAATCTGTATTTGAGAATTTCCACCAACAAATTGCACTTCATACCATTAGTGTTAATAGGAGGTAGAGTCCAAAAGAAGTGTCGCTGAGAGAGTAATACCCACTTGTTGTGTGGGAGTAAGTCGGACAATTCCATTATGAACTGAAGATGGAAGGGGTTGAGGATTTTGTGGGGAAGAATTCTGAGCCGGATTAAAAATTATGAAGATGAGCATGTTGAACTGAGGAAAGGAGAAGACCCGGTGTTAAGTGGGGACTCAGGTCAGAACAATGGCCATATTAATTGGGTGTCTCTGTTTGGATTTGGTAATTGAGGAAGGAGATGAATACTGTCATGAAATGGTTGGTGGTGATGGTGAGAGGATGGAGAGCAGTAAAGTAGGAAATGTCTGCCTGGTTGAAATGAGGGAGAGAAAAGTTTCTGAGTTGGTGAGTGGGATTGGTAATGGTGATGCAGCAGTTCATATTCCTGTGTTGTGTGTTTAGCTTGGGTTGGGATTGGAAAGGAAGTGTGCCTTGAGAAAGCGTGATGGTAGGGGGACCTGGAGTTGAACTGTTACATTTAGTTTCTGTGCAAGTTCAGTTTGGTTGGTCCAGGAATTCAAATGTCGATATTTTCATTATATTTTAAATCTTTTAATAAAAAGTAATTAGTAATTTTTAAAAAAAACTTTACCCTTTTTATTGTAAAATTCTAATTTTAAAAAATGTCAAAGAAATGAACCATTAGACAGTACCTGAGGCAGAAAAGAGATGGCACTTAGATTGTGTTCCATTCTAAAATGGTTTATAGCTCTGAATAGAATGAACTTGTGGTGAAAGGCCAGATTTTAATTCCATGTTCGCATTTAGATTTTTCATTTAAATTTAGAAACAAACCAGTGGGACATATTTAAATACACAAGACAGTTGATTTTGACATGACAGAATAATTTTCGGTGAAATCTCCAGACCCTGTCAAATATACATCACAAGCATATCATTTTTATGTGGGGTTTAGGATGAATCCAGTGCTTGTTCATTGTTGATTTCAAGTTACTTGAAAGTGCTGCAGTGTCAAATGTTATGGACCAGACCAGAACCCCTCAAAGTATTTTAAGAATGTAGCCTAGACCGTAACTTTTCTTATTTTAAAGGTAGATGTGAAGTGCTGTGTATCAGATGCAATGCGACTGGTCAAACTAGTTGATGTTAAGCAAATCACAATTTATTTAAACACTAGAGTTAAAATACAAACAAAACAAAGAGGAATTTAGAATAACCTAACTATTGGAAAAGTTAACCGAGTAATAGATACAGTACTGATTACTAATTAACTATTCCAATATAGTAACATCCCATAGACACACCCCTTGGCAAAAAAGTGCAAATTCAGACACAGATTCTCACATGCAATACTCCAATCCAGGAAGAAAAAACATCAAGAGAAAGTAGCAGCTAGGAGACATTCAGTGAAGCTTCCATCTCTTTTGAGGCCCCAAAGGCTTCTGCTCAGAACTGAACCTAAAACCTAAAAAAGAACTAGAAAGCCAGGTCTGTGAGAGCTGGCCACTCCTAGGCTGCTTCCATTGTTCCAAATTTTAAAAACAAACCCAAGCACTAACAAATTGTTTACTTACT